ACCTGTCAACACATCTTCTTTGAATGTCGATTCTCTGCTTGTGTATGGAACAAAGTTATGGATTGGATGAAATTCAACTGGAGATCTTGCTCATGGAATCTGATAATGGCATGGTACAACAAGAATTTGTAGGGGAAAAATTATAAAATCAAGCTGAAAAGAGTTGCGCTGTTAGTATCAGTTTATATACTATGGCAAGAGAGGAATTTCAGGATTTTCCAACAGAGAGCAGCTAGAAGCCCAGACCTTCTCTTTCGTGATATCAAGATTAGTGTATATACAAAGATTTTGAATTCCAACATTCCTCAGCATATGTTACAGTACATAGAAGATTTGTTTTAGGATAGACTGGACTTTATAACCAGTCTGTTTGTTTTGTTTTTTTGATGTGCTTAATCTTTCTCATATTTGGTGGTGAATAAAATTTACATTCATTGACAAAAAAAAAGTATAATCTAAGTATGTAACAAATATATATATAACTATATAATACATATTTATAAATATGTAATATGCATTTATGTGATTCTCTCTCTCTCTCATGTTATAACTTATAAGTATATACAATATATTTATATATAATAAGTGTGTGTGTGTGTGTTTGTGTGTGTGTGTGTATATATATATATATATATATATATAGGGAAAAGTGTTCCTAAGGTGACGCCTTAGATAATCATCTAAGGACGCGGCCTAAAATCACATGATTGAGCTACATTGTGAATGATCCACTCCGTTGGACTTGATCTACATATTCTAAAACCCCAACACACCAAATTTGGGGTGACCCCATCATCGTTTGACCATCCATCGAGCCATGTGAAAAATTATATTCATTCGAAATCGTTAAAATTGATATGAGTGGATGAAGGGTCAAACGACGACGGGTTCACCCTAAAATTGGTGTGTTGCGGTTTGGTACTAAGCATACCCATTTTTCTCTCTCTCTCTCTCTATATATATATATATATACTCTTAGTATGGTATAGATACTAAGATATAAGAATATAAATATATATAATGTAGTTATAAGTATACTTATATGTTATATGTGTATATTATAGAATTACAGTTTTATATAAGTATATTGTATAATTGCATAAGTATAATAATATATAAGTATATTGCATCTAGTATATATAAAAGTATATCATATAAGTAAATTGTATAATTGAACTTAAATAAGCATAATGTAAATATTTAAGATGTAACAAATACATACATAACTATATAATACATATTTATAAATAAGTAATATATACTTATGTGATTCTCTCTCTCTAGTTATAACATATAAATATATACAATATATTTACATATAATATATGTATATAATATATAGTTATATACTAATACATAATTATATAAATATAATAAGATTAAACTAACTTTTTAGCAATATTTTATCAAAAAAAAAAGAAAAGAGAAAAAATGGAAATCATCGGGCCGGCCCGGAGCCCGGCCCGCTCGGGTCTGGGCCAACCGGGCTCCGGTTTTGCCCGGCCCGGACCCGATTTTCCGGACCGGCACCGGATGGACAGTCCTATCTATGAGATCATTATCATAAAAGCTAAAAACCATAAAAAGTCGACATAGCTTAAAAGCTTCTTAAAAACAGGCCTTAATAGTAAACCACAACAATATGAGTAGATTATGTGACATAATCCATATGCAAATAAGAATGTAATGGAATTAAAGAATTATTATTGTGCTATAAGACCTACTCATATATAACACATGTGCTCACAGAGCACCGAAGAATTGCTGGTGCTTAATTAAGGGTCATACTTTGATCTCATCTCTCTCATCATTACGGTCAATAGGCTCATCCCCTTGACCTGTTCATAGCACTTTTTGCTTGAAGAGTTGCTAAGAATTTCTAATCTTATAGGTTTGACGTCTGGGATCATTAGACAACATGTACAATGAAGTTATCATTTTTTTTAGAGACCACTATAAAGGAACTTTTGCAGAGGAAGAAGACGTTGGCGACTAGATTTTTTACAAGAAAAAAATGATTAGATAATCATTAATTTTTTAGCCTGATTATTTAACTATTATATACAATATAGTTAAGAAATTTTTTTGAACAATAAAGTTTCTCTAATCCAAATTATTATTGTGAAAGTACCAACATCCGCTCACAAATTGAATGCTCTTTTTTTGTGCTGAAGCCTAAACTTATATAGCGGTAGTAATTTTTAAAAAATTTCCATTAAATTCGTGTCTAGCAAAATTCAAATCAGGGTTGGTGCTGATACCATGTGAAACTCTCCTTAACCAATATATCAAAACTATGAACTTATAATAAAACTTGAGGATTATATTTTTATATTTTAAGGATTATATTTTTATATCTAAGAATTAAAATTTCACTTAATAATTTCCATGAATCCTTCGGGAAATATTTCTTTTAAAAAAAACTTGTTTGGCTATAATTTGTTCACGAGGAGTATTCAAACGCCATCCACCGTCTTTTTTTTTCTTGTTTTTTATTTTTTGGTGGAAAAAAGATTGAATGATAGGGTAGTTGGCAGTTTGCTTCTGAAAGTGGATGAAGACAAAACCAATTAATATAAAGCCCATACTCTCTTGCTTGAGAGATTGCATCATCTCGCTATCCTCCTCAGTACGTGCCTCGTGATCAAGTCAAGGGAGATAAAGCTGTCCCCTATATGTTGGTATTTGAACAGTTACATGGTAGCAACATTTACATTTTGCACAAGGATAAATATATGAATAGGAAGCGAAAGGGAGGGGAAACTTTGGGATTTTAATTGATAAGGAGGACACAACGGATTCATTAATCTATCTTGTTCCCATGTTGGACAATCCTCTTGAAAATCCCCTGTGCAACAATGTGTGTGTAGTATTATATATATATATATATATATTATATATATATATATAATATATATATTTATATATATATGATATATATATAATATATATATATATATATATATATATAATATATTATAATATATAAGCTTATGTAACTGTCGACTTAAGTGGAGCGTCCAGTTAAATTTCTTAGTCATTGATGATCACTTGATTGACATGTCGTTGTGGATGAGGCCGCTACGTTGAACATTGATTCTAATATTCTAAAAACGCCACACAACCAAATTTGGAGTGAACACCGTCGGTGGTTTGCACCATACCGACAATGTATTGTAAAAAGTTCAATTCATTCGAAAACGCGTAAAACTGATACGACCGTGGCATGAAGAGCAAACAACGACGGTCTTCACCCGCTAAATTTGGTGTATTGGGGTTTTAGAATATGTAGATCAAGTTCAAACGGAAGCGGATCATAATCCACAATGACGTCAACAATGATCATCATGACTAAGAAACTTAGTGGACCGTCCAAACTTAAGTTGGAATAAGTTTTTTCTATATATATATAGTTATGATATATATAATATAATATATATATAATATATTATATTATATTATATACTATTATATATATATATATATATATATACTAGAGAGAGAGAGAGAGAGAGATGAGAGAGAGAGAGAAATGTTATGCTTGGTACCAAGAAAAAAAAGTTAAGCTTGGTAGTGAATGTGGCATTAATCCCGTTCCACTCATATTAAATGGTTACATATGCCACATGAACTTACTCACTCATGTGAATGTGGCCGCCCACATTTGAATAGTGGAGGAAATTATGTCAGCCTTACTACAAAACATAAAATTTCCTGCTTGCTACAAGCGATACCCATTATTTCTGCATATATATATATATATAATAATATACTATATATATATATATATATTAGAGAGAGAGAGAGAGAGAGAGTGAGGGAGTGAGAGAGAATAATGGGTATGGCCTTGGTACCAAGCCCAAAGTTTTTTGTGCTTGGTAGTAAGGTGGGCATATTCCCTCCACTCATTGGAATGGAGAGCCCGACGTTCACCATGGGTTTGGGGAGTGGTTGGGAAATTTGGATGAGTGGATGTGAATATGAAAGTCACTATCTAACAGCAAATTTTATGCTTGTACCAAAGCATACTCATTCTCTCTCTCTCATCATATATATATATATATAATATATATATATATATATATATATATATATTAAAATATATAATATATATTATATATTATATAGAGGAATTATGGGTATACTTGGGCCAAGGTCCTTGGTAGTGATGTGGACCACATCTTGTCATAAGTCACACCTTGGAGTTTGTGGAGGCTCCATCTTCAAGTTGTGATGTATGGACAAGATGTGTCGCACATCACTAGCGCGAGGATGCCTTGGTAGCCAGTATACCCATTTTTCTCATATATATATTATATATATATATATATATATATATATATTTTAAGTATATATATATATATATATATATATATATATAGAGAGAGAGAGAGAGAGAGAAATGAGTATGCTTGGTACTAAGCACAAAAAGTTATGCTTGGTAGTGAGGTGCCATAATCCCCTCACTACAACACCTGAAATCTACCATAGCGGCCGAAAAACGCTATGGTATTATTTCATAGCGTTTTAATCAACGCTGTGTCAGAACCCGCTATCGTATGTCTGTGGCTTTACATAGCATTTCCCCAAACGCTATCAAAAAGTTTTCAACCATAGCGTTTTTATGTAGCTATAAAAGAGTATTCAATAGGGTTTCTATATTGCTATGACAAATATCTTTCATAGCGGTTGAAAAACGCTATTAGTTAGTTTCCAACCATAGCGTTTTTATGTAGCTATAAAAGAGTATTCAATAGCGTTTCTATATTGCTATGACAAATATCTTTCATAGCGGTTGAAAAACGCTATTAGTTAGTTTTCATTCATAGCATTTCAACGTTGCTATTGTCTTACATTTGATAGCGTTTGAGTTACTACAATGGCGTTTCAGTGAATGTTGTCTTTCTTCTTTTAATAACATTTCAGTAATTGTTTCCACTTCTTATAGCATTTCAGTTGTGCCTATAAACCTTTGAGGTTGAACTAGAAATAACTTCCAATTGTGATAACTATAAAAGCAAATATTTCATTTAAAGGTTCAAACTGATACATAACCAAGTTGTAGCATACAAGAAGAGTCAACACAAATGTGCCAAAAAACAAATACTAATCTTTGGATAATCCAACATGGAGTACAAGAAATTAACTATAGTACACAGAACAACAAAAAGTAACTTTGCTGCATTACATATGACTTGGGAGACTCATCATCTTCAGAATTGAGTACTAGTACTACTGCAAAAACAGAAATTAACAACACCAAAATTACAACTACACAAACATGATAAAGTAAAAACACACGATTGCAAGATGTATAACTTACCAGCTTTCAAAGCATAACAACTTTATTTGATGGCCAAGCTATTGTCGTACCAACGACATCTTCAATGCATTCTAACTCAGATGTCGTTCTCCAAAGAGATGCACTAGGGATCCTAGGGATATCAACCCAAACACGCATAGCATTAGGACCTAAAGGAACAAAGTGAACAACCTGGTTCGGATCACTTGAAGACCAATGTCCTTCAACAACTATCTTTCCCGAGCCAACAATATCTAACAAGTTTCACTTTTTCTTTGAGTTGTTCACACTCTAGCAACAATGCAAAAACAGTGATATCAATTATAGAAAAGAAACTAGTACAATCAAATATCAAAACTAGATGAAGATGTAGTAGTTTCAATTTTTTAAACTTATCCTGAAAGGTACAACATATATATGTATTACATTATATATACATGTTCTTCTAAAAAAGTAATATATATTCACTCATATGCAAAATTAGTGTCCTTACAATTGTTTCACCAACTGCTGAATTCACCGGTGTACCATCTTTTTTTGTGTGAGCTTTGATCCAAGCTTTAACCCTTGACACACTAGATGGGTCTGCAATATTTATTTTCTACAAAGATACATGTTTAAAAAAAGAAAGAATGATGACAAACTCATAACTTTGCCTTAAGAAAACATATATTAATGTATAATGTATTATTACCTGAACTTCTTCCCATAATACAACTTTCAGATCATCACCAAGGTTCCTCCAATCATCAAGTGTTACAGGTACATGCTTTCGTACAAGAGGGCCCAAAAACTATGACAAGTGTATTGATCCGGGTCCATATGGTTCACCAGAATCAGTAAATTGAATCTGAATTCGGTTTGCAGGGTCTCTAGCATGTTTTTTCTCTTTTGTTGGACCCCTTTTCTTTTTTATGCCTCTTGCAACTTTAATTGTATCTTGTGTTGGTGTATCTTCAGCTGTATCATCTTCTTGGACCATATCTTCTTCAGGAATATGAATATTTGGAACTGGTCCATCTTTCTTGGACCATATCTTCTTCAGGAATATGAATATTTGGAACTGGTCCATCTTGGGGAGCTTCTTGACTGACTTGCGTAAGGCCCTTCTTCAGGAATATGAATATTTGGAACTGGTCCATCTTGGGGAGCTTCTTGACTGACTTGCGTAAGGCTTTCCATGGCATTCACATCCCTCGCATAATTCTCCACCTAGAAGAAGTAGGTACTCCAATTCAACCTAGAATCATGGATGAATTGGAACTAAACTGGAGTTGGAACAAATTATTCCCAAACTAATACAGATGGAAATGTGAAAGGCATGTTTTAGGATCTCAAGATACAGCTTGAACCTGTCATTACAGCCAAAACAAGTTTGACCAGATAAATCTTATGTAGACCAACCAAATTCCTTAGCCGCAAATACATCTCTAACACATTTTTATATGTTTGAAATATTATAAATTTCAAGACATGTTACAGAAGTATCGAGTAGGTATGCACTGAATATCCTAGTATACAAGTCCAAGAAAATATCCATGCAACATAAATTGGTTTGCTGCTAAGCTAGTCGCAGAAGTTCCAAAGTCATACTTACACATTTCTGCAGCAGATATCAACAATAAAAAGATCTTACTGTCAGATGTGAGGTTATGAAACTAGGGTTACAGCACACTCAATGACCACACTATATTAACAATAAAAAGGTTTTAATTCATCAAGGGATGGACAGGCTCTCAGAGTCTCAGGTATGCACAAATGTTTGATAAATAAAGTAGCCTCCGCAGCATCTTGAACCCATGACCACGCATAAAAAACAACTATTGACCAATACTACAAGTTCCTCTATAAAAACGTTATGCATAAATTAGATATGATGCTAACTTATTACTGAGTCCAAAACAAATATCATAACTCCTTCTCATATCATTTTTTGGATGAGGACTGTATAATGTAAGGCCTTCCATGGCATTCACATCCCTCACATAATTCTCCACCTAGAAGAAGTAGGTACTCTAATTAAACTGTCATTAATTAAGCTTTCATGAATTATGAAATTAAGTTCTACAAAGAATACCTTATCGGTTTATCGAGTGCCTGATGCAAATAAATGATTGATGCACATGTACGGAGATTAAAATTATCCTTAATTAATGGTTGTTTCATATGTTGAGGACTGAGTTGGCATTTCATTTTATTTTAATTCGTTAAGTGGTTTTGGCTAAACATAAGTAATTACAACCAAATTGTATGACATTTATCTAAAAATCAAAATACTAGTCTAATTCCTAAGGAGTAGGAAACATACAAAAGAACACGATGAAACAACAAGATTAAGAGGAGAAACCTGAAAAATAGAACAAATATAGAAAACTAAAATGACAAAAAGCAGAAAAGGATAATATAGGTATATGATCATGCGATAACTATACCATAATACTGTTCTTCCTTTTACGCTGACCTGTCTTTGTAGTCTCACCAACCATCCTCGTTTATCTGACTTAGAAAAAATAAAGGTAAGTATCTATATAGTTAAACCTGGTTTCATATGTGAAACAAATTATACATATATCAAAATCACAAATAAACACGTGCAGAATGTAAACTCAAAAGAAACTGCTGCCAGTACTAAACCTGAGATGCAACATGAATAAACGAGGATGGTTGGTGTCACTTTATTTTTATTGTGCTACTACATCAGTGAACTGATCAGAGTTAGCTGACTCGAATATTTTGGTGTCCTATCTTATCACATTTTTTTTGTTCAGGCTGAAGTAGCACAATAAAAACAAAAGGATACACATTACATACGCTAAAGCTCAACACTAGCAGAATATCTATATCACTATCATTGGGCTGACCTTGAAAATGTATGGTAACAATTACACTTTATCTGTATTCAGGCTCCAATATCTCAGCAATGTTGTCCTGCAGGCTGAAAGTGCAAATAGCAGTGAAATTCTAGTCAGTTCAGCAAGAAATACTATCGATGATCAGTTATTGGATGTGCTGGAGGCAAAGTTTGCTGTTCTGCGTTTCCAGATGAGAATTAAAGAGGAGCTGGAACTGATAGCTTCAAAGTTAGAAGATGCACAGGGCATTGTTGAATCGCAGGGTAATGCCCAATCTGATTTTGAGATTGCAAAGGCTGCTAAAGACAAGGCTAAAGAGTTAGCACTTGATTTGAAGAGCATTACTCAGTTGTACAATGAATATACCCTCAACTTTCAACATCTCAAAGAATGAACTATATCGATTAACATGCTACACAAAAAGATAGGATCTAATAAAGGAATTCACATAAAAATTCAAGCTTTTTTTAGGACTAATCATTACCACAAACTGAGCATTTTTTTAAGTAGCACTGGCAAAATTTCCTTTGGCAAGTCATTAATCCCACAACAATTTTTACCCTCAACTAACAAATTCCACCCAGGGACAATATCTGCCAAAATTTCCCCAAGGATAAAAGAGTCAAAAAAATTAACACGGGTCTATCTGCGACAATGAAACTACAAGGGTTGGAGGTTCAAAACAATGATCCTAAAGGGGGGCCAAGTGAAATTAACCCATTAATAAATAAGGATAAACTTCACACTCATAGAACCATCATGAACTTTTTCAGGTCTCTTGTGAAAAACTACCATAAACTGTCCAAAGGTTATTGGCAATACTAACAAATGGCTGCAAGTTGGTTGCTTGCACACAAACCGTTCAAATTGCCTCGCCCCTGTCGTATTCAAAATAAAACTTCAAAGGGACCAATCATCTTACCACAGTAAGCTGGTGCAATTTTGTCTTTGCGCAGCAGTGGAAGATTTCCTGAGTGAGCCATCAATGCATAGACCTCTTCAACCAAGCGCTTAGGGACTCAGATCAGCCATTTTATTAGACATAACAAATGGGGCTAAATCCTAACCTTAGTTCCATCTCTCCCTTTTCGATCTGTAGAAAATACACCTCGTCGCTGAAAATACACACAGCATTAGAGGGAAAGTAAAGAAATATGATAGATTTGAGTGACCAATTTTAGACCCCTTAAAGTCTGAGGTGTGCACGAGCAAATTCAAAGATTTGACAACTAATATGGAATTATTGAAGATTCGAGGGATAATATCTAAACAACCCGAAAATAATACCAAAAGCATATGGGATTTTGGGTTAGAGGAAAAAACCCAAGATCCCACCATAGGGAAAATCATCATGTGCTCTGACAGAGATAATAAGAAAGATTTTGGGGCTGTTTGGACATGGATTTGTATTTTGGATTTTGACAATGTTCGAAATCCGAGATTTCTATTTTGTTGTTGTAGTGTTACTAGCAAGTGGTGCAAAATGTTTGCTTGCAATATAGCAAACCATCCAGGATTGCCTCACCACTGTCGTATACAAAAAACCAAGCATCTCGAGGACTACTCATCTTATCACGATCTCCTAAGGCAAGTCATTGCTTGCATGAAAAAGGAAAATGTTAATCAGAAATTAGCTAAATTGCAGAAGAAAATACAATTTTACCTCCTTTAAACATAAAAATATCAAAGGAAGCAGTGTGAGTGGATGCCCTCTTCAGATTGATCCCTGAGCTCCCAGTGCTCTGCATCACAAATAAACCACATATTCATCACAACTAATCTCACAAAATAACTACCCAAAAAAATCAAAAATCAAAAGAAAATGGTTTTCAGATTCTCTTAAACCTTTCAGATTATCAAATTAATCACTCGAATCTTCAAATAAGAGGTGTGTCAGAGGTGGACGAGAGACGAGGAGGGGCTCCGGCGGTGGACGAAAGACGAGGCGGTGGACGAAGAGGAGGGTCGGGTTTGGAGGCGGCAGCGGCGGCGAGATGCTGCGATAGCAAGTCGGAGGCGGCACCGGCGATGACTCGGAGGTGGTAGCGACGAGTCGGAGGGATGTTAGGGTTTGGGTGAAAGAAAAGGAACGAGAACCAGGATTATTTGTTGATTCTCGATTGGGGGGTTTTAGAAAAATAAAAGGAAACAGAAAAATAAAAGGAACAGGAACTGAGATTATTAGTTTTCAATGCGCGGTTTTAATTTTTGGTGTCCCGCTTAAAGATTTCAACGCGCCAAACCAAAAAAAAAGCGATCAATTATTGATAGCGTTTAAAATTTTTCAAACTCTATTGAAAAATATGGTACATATAATCTATAGCACTTACAACATAAACGCTATCATTCAAAGCTATAAAAAAATAGTTTTGCTGTAGTGCCTCCACTCATTCAAATGATTGCATATCCCCATGCACTCCTCAACCCATGTGAATGTGGTCCCCCATTTGAATGAGTGGAGGCGATTTTGTCACCTAACTATCAAGCACAAAATTTATGTTTGGTACCAAGCATACCCATATTCCACACACACACACACACGCGCACACACACACACACACACACACACACACACACACACACACACACACACACACACACACACACACACACACACACACACACACACACACACACACACACACACACACACACACACACATTTTTATCGAAAACAATAACTCTCTGCATAGAAAATTAGCTTACACATGTTTCTATTATAAAATATAAACTACTTGTAAAGCAAGAAGCTCTCAAGTACATTTACATGAGAGAGAGGGATGTCATTTTGAAATTATCTTTCTAGAAATTATTAAACCTCCACTAGTTTATGATTAGCTCTTAGAGTGCCCGAATTTATATTTGATACTTGCAATTTATATCTCTAAAGTTGCATTTCAAGGGTATTAAGTGCTAGTATATTGAGTAGGATTTAGTGCAACTCAAGATATAAAAGAGAAAATTATGTATATTTCCCCCTATTTGTTATAATAATGCAATTTCCAGATGGTTAATGGAGAAATGGGTAACCCGTCATAAAAGAGGAATAGTTATAACGTTTTTCACTATTAGTGTGTAATGTGAAGACTTAATGGGGGAAAGTTATAATAGTAATTTATAGTGATTTATGGAAGATAAATAGTTATAACGTTTTTCATTATTAGCGTGTAATGTCAAGATATAGTTGGGGGATTTGGTGGGGGGATGTTATTAGTGGGTGCTTAATTAAAAATTTGATGCTAATAAATATTGAGATTATCAAAAAATTAAGTATGTATATATCTTAATATATGCATGTATGGATATGCTAGAGATGTATGCATGTATGTATTTCGGAGGGTATTATTGGAAGAAATGTTTTAACATAGCAACACACTTTTATAATAGTATTATATATATTAGGCCTAATACTATATATTAATATAGTAACTATACTATATTATTTACGTATATAATTACTACAAATATATATTACCCGATATATCCAGTTTAGTACCAAGCATAAATTTTGTGCTTCGTAGTGAGGTGTCATATTCACATCCACTCATTCCAATTCCCAACCACTCCCAAACCCATGTAAATTTGGGTCCCGATTTTAATGAGTGGAGTGGAATATGTCACCTCACTACCAAGCACAAAAACTTATGCTTGGTACCAAGCATACCTATTTCTCTCTCTCTCTCTCTCTATCTCTCTCTCTATATATATATATATATATATATGAGAAATATGGAGAACCATGGTACAAAGTTTTTTTTATTAAACTTGATAGTGAGGTGGTTAAATCTGCTTCCTACATACCCTCCCCGCACGCTCAAAGATGAATGCCGTCTTTTTTAAAGTTTGGTCGAATAGTGTTAGGTTCTATCTTCAAGGCATGAATGTAGGAGTCAGCATCCAAGCATGTTCACTATAAAATTCAATGAAAGGACTTTACGGTACCAAGTTTTCCATTATATAATATATATAATATATATCATATATATTATATATCAATATTATATTATATATGCCTTACTTTCACAATGCAGCCCCTAATTTTAAAAAAAATTATCTCAGGCCTCCGCTCACTCTCCCCAAGTTCCAATGTATTATTTTAAAATCCTAATTTTACCCTCTCCATACACCTCCCTCTCCTCCTCCTCCTCCTCCTCCTCCCACTCCTCAACGCCTATCTTCCCTCTCCTTCTTTTCATTCACAGATCTCACTCTCTATTTCTCTTCGTGTCTTCTTGGTCTCGATCTCACTTGCCCTGCCCTCCGATCCGCGTGGTGGCACCGAGCTCCCTCTCCTGCATTGCAGACTCCGTCGCATGATACCTACGAGATCTCCTTGTTGTACTCCTGTTCCTCTGTGTCGCATGCCGCGCTTCCATCGCTATCGCCATCCCCGCCTCTATGCCTACCTTGCCTGCGCCTCCATCCTCTACCCCTATCACACCCCTGATCATGCCTCCACCACCACCGGGCATTAGATTACCATAGTTTATGTTGCTATGTTATTAATGTATAACTTTCAATGGAGGGATTATCTGTTAACTATTATATATAGTCAGTTAACTATTAACATTATCTGCTAACTATTATATGTAGATTGTTAACTATTAATCATTATATGTTAACTATTATACGTAACATGTTAACTATAATACGTAACATGTTTACCTTAATTGGTAAATTGATAATTATATTTAGTAAACTGTTAACTATAATCCACTATATGTTAACTGTTATTTATAATCTATTAACTGTTATTTATAAATAATAGTTAACATGTTAACTATAATAGTTATCAGATTATATATAATAGTTAACATGTTAACTATAATAGTTAACATCTTAACTACAATAGTTAACATGTTAACTATAATAGTAAACATGTTAACTATAATAGTAAACATATTAACTTCAAAAGTTAACAGTTAACAGTTAATATGTTAACTTCAACCGTTAATATGTTAACTTTAAAAGTTAACATGTTAACTACCCTCCTTCCTCAACGCTCCTAACAAACTCTAGGGGCCGTAAAACCCCCCGATGGCAATGGTGACTGGCGTCACAACCACTGCTCTCTCCTCCACTCTTTGCTTCGTGAGGTTGCAGAGCCAACATGTCCTTTTATCTCGTTGATTTTGCTTTGGTGGAAGTATTTTAATGGCGAGGAGGTTCACTGTGCAGGCAACGCTCGGCCTCACGAAGCACTCCGTTGTTGAAACCCCTCATGATTGTTTCATTATTGTCATTGTCTTGCTGATTGGTCTTCGTTAAGTTGGACTTTTGGCGTGTATATTACTTGTTTGATGAAATTTCTGAGGGATGGTTCAGTTAATTTATTTTGCGTTTTCCAAAGTTCCTAAGCTTGGAAGTATCTTTAGTATTATTGTATATTATTGAGTTTGTAAATCTGTTTGAAGAAATATCTGACAGACTGTTGGTATTTATCGTTAAAATTATTTATTTTTATGATGAATAATGCAAACATTTATTGGATGACAAGTTTATGTTAAAATTCCACCATTTGCATATTTCAAAAGCTTATTTAGGTAGGTTTTTCACTCAAAACTGTATTAATATTTGATATAGGGACTAAGGATGTGCGCCGGATTTGTTTCAGCACGAAAATTGGAGGAAGTTCGTAACATGTTATCCATAGCACGTAACATGTTAACGATAATAGTTAACATGTTAACTATTATAGTTAACATGTTAGCTGTTGTAGTTAACATGTTAACTATTAGGGAAAACATGAGGTAGAGTCATGATGGAGGGGTAAAATTGGGTTTTTGGGTAAAAAATATAAAAAATTAGGAAAACATGAGCTGGAGTCATGATGGAGGGGCTTGGGCAAACCTTTTACAAATTTTGGGGGTTACAACACATTTTGAAAAGTATGAGGGGCATGGGCATATTGTCTTTTGGGTTTTGGGGCCTTGACATAATTTTTCATATATATATATATATAATATGAAGTGTGCTTACTAGAAAGTGTACCCATTTCTCTTACATAACGATATGTACGGAAAAAGAAAGACAGCTTTTGCACTATTTCAAGGGGATGTGCGAAGGAATGTGGGTCCTTGCCTACAAATTACGTAGTTATTTTATTGAAGGAGCTAGGCCAACCCGATAGTTCAGGTAACAAGTATCAAGTGAACTTAGTCTGTTGCATTAATGTTAATGTTATGTATTCTTTCGAGATTAAGGCACATAAAACTAAGCTTTTTCCATGCTGAACTGGTTAAAAATTTTATTTCTAAATAATTCATGCATAATAGGTAGTCAATGTCGCTAAGGGGGTGTTTGGTTCACTCATTTTATGGAAAGAGAATAGGATTTGGAGCTGACAGGGGTAAAACCATAAATAAATAATTATTTATCAATCCTAATTTTGGGTTTGGTTCAAATTTTTTTTTTATAAATTTCAAAATCCATAAAGTTGCAACACTAGGGTGTTTTTATGGAAACCCAAATCCTACTCAATTGGTAGGAATTGTGCCAAAAAGCTGACAACCCGTACTTTCTCCCTCTCTTTTCTTTTTCGGATTCCGCCTCTTCACGACGAACCCTAGATCTGGTTCAGCCACTACCGCTATTATTCTCCCGTCTCATCTAAATCTTCTTCGCACCTCCTCTCAGCCTGTTCTTCGATTTCCTTTTCGAAGACGTGGCTCAACCATTGTGCAGCGGTGATCCCTTCTTGAACTTGATCTAGGGTTCGGTGGGTTTGTTGGCTTCGGCTTCTCTCGCGAATTTTCTCTCGACTCATCTCAATCATCTTCATGCCTTTTCTAGATCCGTTCTTCAATTTATTCTTCGAAGACGAAGCTCGAAGCTATTTCTCGGTGATCCATTCACGACCTTGTTATTTGGTTGTTGGCTTTGAAAGCTGTCGGTGGGTTTGTTCCATTCGGTGAGTATGTTGGCTTCGGTGGGGTTATTGCATCAATTTCTAAATTTTCCCCTTGGCAACTGCAGGTATAAAACTTTTCACCATTTTCTTATGATCGTTTCATTGTGCTTGATATGAAGAAATGAACATATGTAGTATAATGCGCTGGTTTTGATAATTTTATACACATATAATATCTTATGGAACAAGGGTTTTGTTACATAGTAGATTAATGATTTTCGGTTCTTTGGATTATTTGTTTAATACGTCTGCCAAACGATTAAACCCATGGACTGAAAACCTTATTTTTATTTGTTTGATTAGCATGCATGCTTAGGGTGCAAAATATGAATTAGTTCT